AGGTGTGGGGGGGAGAGGGGGGGGGGGGGGGGGAGAGTGATTGATGGTGAGAATTCAGGTTTGTTTCCAGAGCTCTTAGAAGGCCTTTCAAATATCAGGTGAAATCCTGGCTCTGTTGAAGTCAGTGGGAGTTGTGTTTCTGACTTAGTGAGGTGCTCTCATTGACTTCAGCCTGAGGTCAGGATTATATCTTCTGCTTTCTATGTCCATTACCCTGCGTATGCTGAGTCATGTTTTATTTTCCACTCCTTCTGTCTCTAGCTCCTCAGTTCTTCAAGTGAAATTTCATTATACAGTAATTATATGAAACTGCACAATTTCTTATACCCTTGACTCATTCTATCAAAAGAAGCAGGAGTAAAGTGCATTTAGTACATATCTAAGGGTATGGACACAGGAAGGTTTGGTGCCCTTTCAGAAGGGAAATAATTCAAAAGGGCAGCAGCTGGTATGTTCTGACTGTCATGTGTGAATGAGCTGAGAATAATTTGAAAGCAGCAAAACCCTCTTCAATTTTAACACTCCTTCATCCAGGGTTAAAGTTGGAGAATTTTTCTGCATTTGAATCATTCTCAGTTTATTCACACATTACAATTAGAAGTACAGCTGCTGCCCTTTTGAAAGGTTCCCCTTTTGAAAGGGCTCCAAGCATTCATGTGTCCACACCCTAACTATAGAGATGAAACTGTGAAGTCTGAAACCAAAGGGAATTGTTACATTTCTCCTTTACTTTGTCTAATTTTACTACTATTTCCACCTTGTTCTTATGGAGTGACATTCTCTTGGGGGAAAGTTATGAGGTGTTGTAAGTCTATCCTAAAAATAGTACAAGAGTAAATTTGGAATGAGCTTTTAATGGAGAGTAAGATTTTGCTGAAGATAACATCTTCCTTCTTCACAGGCAATGCTTTTCCCCTGGTACGCTCCGATTTTTCCTTTTTTATTTTAGAGTGACGGATCCATTACAGTACGGTTATTTCTCTTGTGTCATGAGCATACTTCATTGTGCAACAAAAATCTAATAGTAAAGGTTAAAGCAATCTTAATGAATGGTAATTTTCATCTTCTTAATGAAGTGGTAGTAGGGATTGGATTTGATGATCCCAAGATTTTTTCTAGTCCTGTGTTTCCAGCATTATAAAAACTTCCCCCTGTTTGCTATAATGTATTTCTAGTATACATTGATTACTATTGCTCAGGTATATATTTAGTTTTGAATGGTAATTGGCAGAATTTAAAAGTGACCTTTGTTTTCACCTTTATTTTATGTGCATTTATGAACAAATGAATATATAATCTATTTTCTCATCATACTTTTAATATAACATTAGAAGCAAATAAAACAATGATAATCTCCACGTGAACCCTCCACAGAGTCCCACAAAGTTAGCAACACTTTGGATGCAAGGGTCTGCTTTTATGAATTTCTTTGCTGCCTGGCTTATTCCCTCCACAAGGGGCTATGGGATTGGTTGTTGGTGTTAGACCTTCAGGAGCAGCCTCAGTGGCTGGGGCTGCCCTTTCCCCTGAAGTACAGACCAGGGGGGCAGGAGGGGAGAGAGTGGAAAGTGCAGGGTATAGCCAGGTGAAATCCTGAGCCTCCCACCCTAAAGTGGCACCAGCTAGAACAGTGATTCTCAATTTTTTTAACTTCAGCTTCCCCCCCCATCCCCCCCTCCCAATATCTTTTCTAAATTTAGACTTAGCTGAGTGATTTACAATTGCTATGCCATGAAATTCAGAAAAGTTATGGAAATTGAGAACCACTAGTATAAGACTAATCCTTTGATTAAAAAAAGATTATTTGTTGTCAAGCTTTTAACAGTACATCTCAGAACTTGCATGGTTTCTCTGGCAGGGGAATGGAATATGTTTCATATTTTGAAAGTCTCTCTTTCTCACTCTCTTTTGGAGTTTAAGAGTAAAGTGTGCTACCAATTTAAATCCAGAGAAAAATATGTTCCAGGTGTCACATGTTTAGGAAACACTGGGCACATCTACATGAGACCACTGACTGTGTAGTAGCCAAATAATACTGCACAGTAGTGTGTCACAGCATGGAAATACTATGCCAGTGCTACTGTGCAGTAACTCTGGTTATTGCACATTTATTTAGTACTTGTTAATAAATGCACAGTAACCACTGCACGGTAGCATCTCGTGTAGGTCGGCCAACTGAGTTAACCAATACAAAACAAGGGCTGATTTAATAACTCTTTTCCTTAATTTATTGAGCTTTGGGTCAAGCCCATGGTGTGCATTGTGCCCACTGTCATGTAGAATGGTAGGCCAGTTTTTCTGCTGATGTAACTTAAAATCCATGTATTGGAGCAATGGCAGCAGAAAATGTGACCTGTCTTCTTTTGCAACTAGTCTCTCAGTAGCTATAATTCTTGATCTTTCTTTCCTTCTTGAAAGATCAACAAGAGTACCTAACATGCAGAATGCTGTGAAGAGACTATCTTTCACCTTAATTATATAAAACTGCTTGGTGTTTTTGTGCTTCTATTCCCTTTACCTTTTTAATCAGAAACAGGGATGAAAATTAAAATTATTAGAAATAAGGTGCACGATAAATTAATTATTCAGTAAGTACATGGTGGATTTTTTGTGGGGTGGGGGAGTTTTGTCTATCTACTCATACTACTACATTGTACTATTTCTGTTGGCTTACTATTGCTATCATGTTTCCTTCTCTTTTAGGAGATAGTCAACTTCAACTGTCGCAAGCTTGTTGCCACAATGCCTCTTTTTGCCAATGCAGACCCAAATTTTGTGACTGCCATGCTGAGCAAACTGCGTTTTGAGGTGTTCCAGCCTGGTGATTACATTATCCGAGAAGGTGCTGTGGGTAAAAAGATGTATTTTATTCAGCATGGGGTCGCTGGTGTCATCACCAAGTCCAATAAGGAGCTGAAGCTGACAGATGGCTCTTATTTTGGAGGTGAGTGGGAAAGAAGTGCATGATAAGGTTGGCGTGAATGCACTAGAACAAAACGTGTTCAGATGCCAGACATAAACAGATATCAGAATGTGTCTGCTGAGCATTTGTTGCCTGGAGAACTCTGATGCACAAAATGGTGCCTGAAATATTTTTAAATAATGCATTGAGTGATTGCTTACTACTAAATATAAAGGATGTCCTTTCTCAGGTATTGCCTATAATAATTATATAAGCTAAATTTGGCTTAATATTAAAAGCATTCTTAGATAATGCGTTATATTTTATTAAGGATACATGCTAATTTGCATAGTAGATTTAAAAGCAAAGAATATTTTAAAGATAAAATATGCAGAAATCACCTTCAAAATGGATTGGATGTTTTTAGTCCTCAGTGTGAAAGTATACCAATGAAAAAGAATCCATTGTACAAAAATAAAAATAAAAATAAAAAGGAAGTTAAACAGTGGATTAAAAAAAAGCATTATTTCTTGTGATTTTCAAGTATTGCCAGTGGAGATTCAGGCTGTTTTTGTGTACTTTCACTAATTTTTAGCATGCAGCATTAATTAGACTTCCAGTGTATGCTGTGATAGTCTAGCCTTTCTAATTAACTAGACAACTCTCTGACAGATGTATGTTAATAAGAACTAAATATTAATTTTAGTCCAATTTAATTCTCATAATGCTAATGAAAAATAGATTTCCATTTAATTGAAGGGAGTTATACTATTTAAATATGGATGTAGGTATACTTTTCATACATACTAACCAACCAACATGAAAAAGATATTGGCTGTGATTATAGGATATTTTCGTTCAATTGAAGAGTATCTACTTAGGGTTACAAATGGCCTATTTTGCAAAAGTTGTTTTGAGCATATACACTTATCACTTACATCAACTACTGTTACAGAATTGGCTCATAGATACTGAGGGTGCATCTACACATGTGTTTAACGCGCATTATCCCATTTTAATTTGCATTAGAGCATCACTAAAAACCATGGGTATTTATAGATGTGCTCGGTGGGGGGAGACACTTTATTTAGCGCAACTCTGAGAGTGTCATATGCTTCAGTGTCCCTGCGCAGAAAAATGGTGGCAGGGTGCTTTGAACTAATTTGAAAGTGCCTCACCACCATTTTTCAGAGTGGGTACACTGATACAAGTGATGCTGGAATATGCTGGAAGACAGTAATTACCACAATCTAGCAGGTTCACCATTACAGTGTCAGAGCAGCCCCCCTGCATGTATAAAGGAACCTTGTGCTATTTAGTTAATGCTCATTAAGACTGCCTAATGCACATTTTCCTAGTATCTCACAATGGAGGTACTAGATTTAATACGCATTAACTACAGCACGTTAATGCTGTGTAGACACCCTTAGTTTTTGTATTAATTTTCATTAAAGCCCATTAATTTTCATTAAAACTCATGAAGTGCTGCAGAATTGTTTCAAGAGTCTTTCAGAATTTGTTGTATGTAAAGCCTAACCAGTGATATTTAGCGATAGGTTGCCTTGCCAGCTTGAAATCAGGTAGAAGGCAAGATAGAGATGCACCTTATCGAGGTGCAGCTGATAAATTGAGCTAATCTCCTGAAAACTTATGCATCTCCAATTCAGTAATATTTAGATGGCATACAGATTTGTAGATGAGTAAGGACCTAGGTTCTGAAACTGGCCATAGCACTTTTATATTTAAGTCCAATGAGATTCCAATATGAAAACTGTATTCTGGTGACCGAATGTCTGTAGTGGCACAAGTAACTCCTTAGCTTTTCATGCTTTTTCTCTAACCATCACAATTGAATCTATTGTACAAAGAAAAAAAAAGCATTTGAGATAGCAAAACAGCAGAAGTGAGTATAAATATGTTGTGTTGAATAATGGAAGCAAAAAAAATCATATTGTTATGATAGCAAATATCCAGAATGTCTCTCAGACCTTAAGGGAAAAATGCCTGTGTTGCTTCCTCTCAAAATATAGTACATTACAAAATTATGACATAAAATTTAATAAAAGAAACCCAAAATACTGTCCTTTCTAAAACATGTCTATGGAAATTATATAGGCTGAAATTATATAGGGACTGAAAGAGCTGTCTATAATTAAGGCTGCCAGGCACTTGCCATTTTAAGATTCTGCTTTTAGGTTCAGCCATTTGAGCTGTATTTTTTCTTGTCCACTAGCTGTCTCAGAATCAGGTGAATCAGGCCCAGCCTGCCTTGTGTGTGTGTGATTTTGTTTTGTTTTGGTCTTTTTGTCTAATCTGTTATCTGTAATTTCTCTGTTTCACACTCCTTTGTGCTACAGCAGTGGCAGAAAATGGTAATGAGTTGCCTTTCATTCATTCTTAATATCACAGTGTCTTGAATAGCAGATGGTTTATATTATTAAATAGCTTGTAATATTTTTGTGCTAGAGGAAGTGCCTAGAAAGTTGTTAGATGCACATAAAATGGGAAAAAGGAGAAAAGATTTAAGTTCTTTATGAATACATTACAAATGTATGTCTTTTTATGGGGAAATGTACACAATGCCATTTGCTGCAAATTCATAGAGTAGAAATAATATCTTAATGCATTTAATGAGCCTAATACTAATCTCATTTATGCTTACTGGTGCAAAACTGGTATAAAACCATTTATACCTGTTAGTTCTGATATATGTAAGTAATAGAAGAATCAATACATGATTATTTCAGTTGTGTTCTTTTAATTAAAATATATATCTTATTGGGTCATTAAGTGCCAGCCAAAGAAAGTACTTTTTATATATTAAATATAAGCTAAATTGATTAAATGTCCTCTTATTCTAGTAGTTTCTTTCCTCTTATTCATTGTGTTAGTTTACAAAAGGGCTTTTGGTGCTTCTTCCAGCCCCCTGGTAAGATTCTCTCCTTCTAAACCAGCCACATAGTTTAAGGACGTGTCTACTCATTGCCCTACAGAGACATAGCAATGCTCTACATCACCATATGGCACACTGCAGTGATGTAGCGATCACGTGAGTGTGCACATGAGTGGCAGCTGTGTCACCTTAGCAGCACACTCCCCTGTTATAGGATGCCACTACAGTGACATAGCGGCAAAATCTAACCATGTGCTGCATACACGGTGCAGTACAGGCGATTCCTGTGCTTTGCTTTAGTACTTCCAATAAGAAGTACTAAAGCACAACGATGCGTAGATGCACCCTAAATGACCTACAGTGACAGAATCAAGCTCTAGAAAGGTATCTGAGAATTACAGGCAACCCCTACTTAACACTGTTTTACTTAGTGCTATTTCGCTATAAAGGTCATTTTAAATTGATACCTGGTTTAACTTAGCACTCAGTGAATTTTGCTAAAACGCTTGTGGTCACCATCTTGGGTCATTAAAACCAATTGTGGTCACCATCTTGGGTCATCAAATACTTTCAGTTTCACTTAACGCATATTTCGCTTAACGCTTGGTCTTTCAGGAACCAATTAAGGGTGCTAAACTGGGGTTGCCTGTACTTCCTTGTAAGGGTATAAAATGGCCTGATCAGCACCCACACCATCTACCTATGTGATCCCTAGCATAACTGGCATTACAGGGGCTTTCTCTGAAAGACATTGATACTCTGAGTTGGCATAAATGTGAGTTGGCATAATCTGCTTCCTGATGCTCACATCATCCTCACCTTGGTGTACCAAAAATATAGAAGCCCCCAAAAAACTAGAGTGGAACTTCTAAAATCTAGTGTGGCATTTCAGCATGTGATTAATTACCTTTGTGCTTCAAATATACTCAGTCGATCTTCTGTTTCAAGATAAAAAATATATATACAGATATAGTACGTTTTAAGTCAGCAAATCTTAAACAGTACTTAATAGAACAGGATCTTCTGGGAACCCGGTTAGTACCCTGTTGTTATATGAAATGCTTTCTTGTTGATGCACAGATGGCTATTTTTCTACTCTGGTCCCTGATCTTTCAAGTCACTGGCAAAACTCCCATTGACCTGAATGAAAGCAGGATAAAGCCTTAATTCTGAAAATTAACTGCCTCTAACTTATCTCCTCTCCATCTGGTTCCACACCTGTGTTTATATACATTTGTTCAGCTTCCGGGAAGCATATTAAAAATATGCTTTTGGATCCCCAAGGGATCCAAATATGGTCTAATGGCTATAAAAACTCAAAGCAAAGTTTTCTACATTTCATTCTTTAATGATTTCTTTACTGAATACTTGTCTTGACTCCTTAGGGCTCATAATGCCTTCCTCTATTTATGTTCATTATGGGCCCATTAATGTTGGGTGCCCAATTCTCTTTCTGGTGTTACCCTTTCACCCATCTTTTTGCAGCTCCCCTTTGCCCACATATCCTGAATGACAAAATTTGCTTTTCTTTGGTTCACAGAGGGTGCATCTATATGTTCATTAATGTGCTGTAGTTACTATGCATTAAGTTTAGCCCTTAGATAATCAAGAACTAAATCAATGTGCAGTAACTCATGCACAGTAGCACCGGCACATGAGATTTTTCAGATGCTAACTGTGCAGTAGCCTAATACTACTGTGCACTAGCATATTAGCATGGGTTTTGCCTGGCATGCTACTGCACAGTTAGGCTACTGTGAAGTTAGCCACTTGTGTAGACGCACCCAGACTAGCACAAAATCTAAGGTTCCTCACAGAGTATTTTATTCTGAAAATTTCCAGGAGACAGATATGAATTGAACAGAATTATGTCCACTTGATTATATGTATTCATATAATAATGCATTATTATATATCATGTACTGCATTATAGTAATATATAATATATACCATATATAAAATTTCATATGCATTATATATTATTGAAGTGCAATATATGATATATAATATAGTGTAAGTATATACAATATAATATATGTATATATATAAAATAAGTACAAATACACACACACACCCCTCCACCGAACACAGGCATTTCAGAAAGTAACAGCGATTCAAAAATAAAGCCATTTCATATGCAATGATCATT